GGCGGGGGGGGGCGGTATGTGTATGTAACAATCTTTTTTGGTTGCTATGGTCTGTAAGGGGAGGGGAGGAGGGGTGGGAGGGAGAGCCGCAAAACCTCGAACTTAAAACTTACACTCACTACTTTCTTCGAAAATATACGTGAGTTCCACAAAATATTTTTCAATTATTGATTTTTCTCATTTACAACTCTAATTTATAATATTCTGTTTTCTCTCATTGTAGGTGATCTTGAAGCATATTAAAATCAGATGGTTAAGCTTATACTTTTCCATAGAGCGTTTAGTACACGTATGGTTACCTATTAAAAAATATTTTCTTGAACAGCATGATAATTGTCCATTGGAATTAAAAAAGTTCTTCGAACTTGATGAAGCTACATGTATACTGAGTTTTTTGCAACACGTTTTGTTCGAACTTCATAAAAAAATCTTGAATTATAACGTAATTACACAACAGCTGTTGATTTATTCAGAATCATCACATCCATTAAAACTAAATTACAAGAACGAATTGATTCAGAATTTTTTGGTGCTGCATGTCGATATAAATTAATGCGTTTACCAATTGATACACAAAATAGATTAAAATCATCATTTATTAAATTTTTAAGTGCAATTATTGCTTATATTGATTCTTATTTTGATAAAAATATAACTTTTTATCAAACAATTAGCTATTTTGGTCAAGAAAATATCGAAGGTTTAACATGGCATCAGGTTATTCAATGTGTTGAGATAATAAAATTAAAAAGTTTAGATGAAGATCGATTGTTCGATGAATTTACAAATGTAAAATCTGTATTTAAAACACTTTTAGATCAACCTGTTTCATTATTTGACCAAGTTCAAGCTTTCATAAGAAAACAAAATGATATATCAAAAATAAATAATTGTGTTGATGAAAAAGAAGATGATGATGATGATCACTTAACAACGAACAAAGTAGTTAAATCTGATCAGTTATGGATGTTTTTATTTTCAATTACTCAATCGCCAAATTTTAAAAAACTCATATGTTTTTTGTATTCATTACCATGTAGTAATGCTTTCGTGGAATCTGTATTCTCACAAATGAAACATTTGTTAAATGACAGAAGAAAACGTATGACAAATGAATTGGTTTCAGTTGAATTAAAAATACGTTTCAACTCGACCTTATCATGTACTGAGATGTATAAATATATTTTATGCAATCAAGATTTGTTAAAAGCTATTAAGTCAGATGAAAAATACACATTCAAAAAAAACGTATTCAATAATTCTATTTTTGTATTTAAGTAGTTTTTTCTCTTGATTTTGTACAATAAAGAATGGAAATTGTAATGAACTATTCTCATTACTATATGAAGTCAAAGCCTAAAAGATTATTGTAACAACCTCGGTTGAGTTTCTTGTATATCGTTATATAGTATCACTTTCTTATGGAGGTGATTGTTCGTGCGTGTTGTTCCAGCCGTATCCTGTCATCGGCTGTTATATCATGTTTTACTCTTCTCTCTTCGATATGTATATACTACTCATTATGTAACCGTCTACTGGCTCTCATCGTGTTGAGTTTATCTTTTCTCCTGATATAATGATATATCACTATTTAGTCTAGCGCGTGCTTCTACTTTGATCAATGTTCAACGTTTGCTCTTTCTCTTTGTCTCGCTATGATATCTATTCTTTTCCTCTATCGTTCTACTCTGAGTATATAAAGGGTAGACGAGAGGGAATAAAGGAATTCTGGTGTGAAGTAAGCACTAAAATCGTTACAACTGGCGACCCTGACAATCGAATCTACTCCTTCTATGACGAAGTGTTTCTTTTTTTCTTTTCTTGATCTTCTCTCTATTCTCTTTTACCTTGTACAATGATTGACTCTCAAGTTTCCAGTATTGATCATGCAGAAGCTTTCTGCTTCGATTGCGTATTCATGTATGAGTATACAATATCCCAATGTTCACACACAATCTGCCTCACGTGTTTGTATGCAGCAATTGACGAAAAAATTCGCCTCGAATCAAATTTATTTATTTGCCCCCGATGCACGGACTCGGACGAACGTCGAAATCGACTTGGACAGTCTTTTACTGAAGAAATAACTCAAAGTCAGTGGGAAATCGAAACAGTCGTGCAATCATCCCAATTTGAAAACCAACGTTGCTATGATCAGCAATCTCCACTCTCATCCGAACAAAACGATGCAATTCTCTCTGACTCTTTATGGCCCGTAGGAATCGAATCATGGCATATTCATGAAATCAAACCACAACGAGAATGTTTTACACGTAAAACACTTTCAGTGAAATTTCAAAATCAGCGACAAATCGAAACAGTCGTGCAACCATCCCAATTTGAAGACGAACGTTCCTATCATCAGCAATCTTCACTCTCATCCGAACAAAACGATGCAATTCTCTCTGACTCTTTATGGCCCGTTGGAATCGAATCATGGCATATTCATGAAATCAAACCACAACGAGAATGTTTTACATGTAAAATGCTTCCAGTGAAATTAATGATAACTCAATTTACTGACAGCGAATCTCAACCAAAGCATCCAGAAGACCACTGCGGACTTCAAACGCATATTTTATCTGATGAACTTGTGTATCCAATCGGCTATTTTGACGGCCAGCAATCTTAATCAAGAGTGGTACCAGAATCTAATATACTCAAATATGATGAGATAATTCCTCATGATTCAGATAAATCACCACAAAATTTGCTACTTGTGCTTTTCATCGACCATCGACGTTTAGTTCTTGTACAAGCTACCAAGACAAGAAACATAAAACGTGTACAAAAATTACAAAAGGATTTGAATCAGCAGATTTCTGACTCACAACTGCACAAGCCACTACATTGTTCTAGCTTCTCAACAAGAATGATGTCGTATATTTATTCTCCCAATAGATTATTACTAACGTTTCGCAAAGGCATTGACTTCCTTTTCTTATTTTTGTTCTCTATACTAATTGGCATCAGCATCATTTATGACTTAACATATTCTTTTACTAATGATCATACTCAATCTTCAACTCCCGACTCGAAATTAACTAGTAGTATGATGTTCACCACTTGCGCAAACAGAGATATTAAAAAAGTAGTACCATACGTGAAAACCATGGAAATACTTCGTAATCTTGAATCTCTTTTAATTTACGCTCTGTCGTAACTAGTCAAAATTATTTCGAACCTTTTATTCCGGCATCGAACTTTTTGGACTTTCCCTGGTATTCGTTTTCTCCTTTCTTTAAATGAAACACTGGAAGAGTTGAATCTTCCTTTCTATTTTCTATTTTACGCTTTTCTTAACCTATTACAATTTGTTATTTCTTTCGGATTTCATGACAATTACTTTTTAGTAATTTTCCGCGACACTTTCGCTTTTCGCCTCTCAATCCGAATTCTTGACCCTTATCGACCCTAGTCACTGATAGTTTCAGTTCTCTCTTTCAAGTGTAATGTTATAATGTTCATCTTCGACCCCCCCCCCCTTTGTTTTCAATCGTAACTTTCTCTGAAGCAATACTGTTCTTTTGAGCGCCTATCATCACCGTCTATTCTCAGTGATCAATTTTGTCAACTCGTCTTTTGACGGTGTCATTCGTTCGAAATGTATTAGTTAAACATTTGTTTTTCCCTCATGACTTCGCTTATATGACTTTTGTATGCTGTTATAGACCACGATTTTGTCTACTTTTTCGCTTTTTTTTAATGCTGGCTTCCAGACGCACAGTAGTGCATCTGAGTTATACTTCTTTTTCTTCTCTCTCCCTTGTTTTTTATCTCTCTCTCTCTTTTCACCTAGCCATACTTGTTGTTCTCATCTTCGACCACGATGATCTCCTCTTCGAGATTAACATATCATACTTCCTATTCTTCATATACTAAATTCCTGAAAGTATATTATCTCTCGTTTGACTTTTCTTCCTTCGTTTCCTAGTGTATCCACTTGTTTCTTGTTTTTCTCTCATCTTCCTCTCTCTCCTCTCCTCCCTTTTTCATTTCTCTCTCTTCTCTCCTCCTCCTTTCCTGTCCTGCGACCGGCTACGCATCTTTTCTTTCCGGGCTAATTAACCCTGTCGACACTATTAGCTAAACGTTTATCCATTTCATCAACTGCTCCCTTCATCATTTTCTTTCTTAGTCTTTTTTATAACTCCTATTTTTCTTCCCTTCCTACGTTATATCTATTGTATCGCCTCGTCATATCTTTCTCTTCTATCTCGCTTGTTTTTTTGTTCTTGTCTTTTGTTTTGTTTTGTTTGATGTTTCAGACGCTCGGGAGAGCGTCTAATTTGCGTCCGGGGGTGTAACAACCTCGGTTGAGTTTCTTGTATATCGTTATATAGTATCACTTTCTTATGGAGGTGATTGTTCGTGCGTGTTGTTCCAGCCGTATCCTGTCATCGGCTGTTATATCATGTTTTACTCTTCTCTCTTCGATATGTATATACTACTCATTATGTAACCGTCTACTGGCTCTCATCGTGTTGAGTTTATCTTTTCTCCTGATATAATGATATATCACTATTTAGTCTAGCGCGTGCTTCTACTTTGATCAATGTTCAACGTTTGCTCTTTCTCTTTGTCTCGCTATGATATCTATTCTTTTCCTCTATCGTTCTACTCTGAGTATATAAAGGGTAGACGAGAGGGAATAAAGGAATTCTGGTGTGAAGTAAGCACTAAAATCGTTACAATTATTTGGTACAAGAAACATACTTTCTGCTTTTTTTTCTGCTTTTTGACGATGAAAAATTCTGCCATTTTCTGCTTTTTATAGGTTATTTTCTGCCTTTCCATCATCAAAAGGTGGCAAGTCTGTATCTGATAGTAAAACGGAGCATTTGCCAGGTCTTTTACCTCTTGCTCCTGGAATGCCTGTTATTTTAACACAAAATATTGCTATTGAACTGGGTCTTATTAATGGAATGAATGGAATCTTTCGACAACTTGTTTACGAAGAAGAGTCTGTATCAACAGAAGTTCTTTCCGACACATTTCTAAATAACACACAATATATCCATCGACCTTTATATGCATTAGTTGAAATTACCAAATCGAAGGTGGAATATAATCTTACATCACTTCAATCAAATCTTGTCCCAATACCGTTAATGGAACAAACATTTCAAATTAATATTACCGATGTTTTACCAAAAGATAAGAGACCAAAATCAAATCGAAAGGCAACTTTATCAATAAAGCGGCGTGCATTACCACTTGTACCTGCTTACTGTATTACTACACATAAAAGTCAAGGGCAAACTCTAAATAATGTTGTAATTGATTTGAAGCTACCCAAGGAAAATAATGATATTGCTGCAATTTATGTACCTTTGTCACGTGTAAAACGCTTGGCCGATCTTGTCATTTTACGACATTTTGATTACCAGGTTTTATTGATGAAACCAAGTAAATCACAACTTGCCGAAATTAAAAGACTAGATAAACTATATTCAGAAACACAAAAACGTTTTTCTCAGTGGTTTTAATGTTTTTCTATACTATGCAAGATTTTATTTGTCAATATGCAGGGTTTACGCTGCATGAAGCGTAGTAGAGAGTTTTTTTTTATTGTGCTAATTTTTGTATTGTATCTTTCTTCTCTATCTTGTTTACATATTCCATTACGTTATAGTTATCTTGCAGTTGCGCTTGATGTACATATTATTATGCCATATTATGCAATAAATTGCGTTTTGTCATTTTATAAGTTCACAATGTAATATTGTTTATTATATATTTCTTTCTGTTTTAATCTTTTATGTCATCATTATTGCTAATAAATCATTTATGCTTCTACTATTATGCAAGTAATATTTTTGATCTAAGGATTCTTCTGACCATTGTGAATATATATACTCACATTTCATAATACTATAGTAAATATTTTGTTACAAGAGTTCGGCTTACTAATTACAGTGAAGTTAGGTATAGATAATTCGGTTTTCTTTACAGCCTTTAGTTGAAAATGATATTTACTCTAAATTATTCCACAAAACCGTAAAAGTATTTCTTACAATATTTACAATTGCACAAAAAATTGGAATCGCTTCAATAAGAAGATTTACACATCGATTGTATCAATATCAATATTTATGTAATATATTTTAACCTTACACAGTCGAGGGTCAAGTGAGCCAAAGCGACGAACGTTACTTGTTTTAAGTGAATGTAACAGAATGATACAAGTTTTCTAGAGAGCGAAGTTCTGTGTAAAATGAAACAAACTGGCTGAACATATTTTTGCAGCGATTCTGTCCGATCATCACTGTTAGAAGCATGAACTTTTTGTATTGTTTTAATGCGTGAATATGGCTTTATTATTTTTGATTAAATAGAAATTCCACTCAAAAGAAGGGAAAAGTGAAGAAAAGACAAAAAACTGTTCGGATTATTTGCTGCTGAGTGTTTTTAATTTAGCTGAAATCATAATCAAAATCAACACATTTTGGTAACATGCCTTTCAAATTTTGAGCAGCTTCTAATTTCAAATATTCGTATACTTTTTCTTTAAGTGAGCCATCTGTTGTTAAACAGTGATACGAAAATGTCACTGTAATTTCACCATCTGAACTTCGATGAAGAACAACATAAATATACGTGTTTACACAATTTGAATTCTCCAATTTGAGTTCGTCTGTATAATCGGCCGCACCAGGTCTACTGGCTCTACATTTTAGTTTCAAACGATCAATGTAGTTCTGACCCTCATCGGTTCTTGAAATACCCCATATTTTACCAGCTTCGTCAAGATATTCTTGAGCATTACTGACACTATCTAATGTTGTCGTATCATGACTGGCTCTAAGGTTCCAAACTTTATTACTAGTTCGATAACGTTCGACTTCATTATAGCGATTTCGAATAATTGCAATTCTAACCATTTTTCGGAAAGAATAGATTGTTGATTTTTTTATCTGAAAATAGAAAAAAAATCAAGTTGTTTCTTGAAGATGATCTTTCTTAGGTACGTTCTCGATGGAATTAAACACTAAAAAGAATATAGTTTTATTTCTGAGTTATTTATGAAAAAAAATGCGTTGACTAATAAATGAGTACGGTCCAGTACTTTGACTTCATTTGCAAAAAATTAGTTTCTCCTTCATTTTTTGCTACTTTTTTGTAATGCCCGTAGATGTGGATCATAGTCAGACATACTGATAGCACCTGCACCACCACGGCTCTGTTCATTGGATAGGCTTTCGCTAAAGCTTTTTAGAATTAGTGTGTGTGCATTGAGATTTTGAGAGGCAGTTTGTTTCAACCATGAGACCGATTTTCGTTCCGATAATGAAATGCCACTGCCACGACTAGATGCCAAAGTAATTGATTGATAGGAATAGCAAACATCAATTGTCTTGTCTGCATTTTGACGAATAATTACCAGAATATAAAAATCTTCACCATGTTCATTTGTATTTAAATAATCGTATGCAACTTCTGCTTTTTCGTGTTGTTCAATTGCTTTCATCAGTGTTACAACAAATTTTTTGCCATTTTGATAATGTTGTAGTTTCCAAATATTCGCAACTTCCTGAATATATCTTTTAGCATCTTCAATACTATCTAATAGTTGAACATCATTAGTTACGAAATATTTCCATTTCAATGACGAAGAGCCACTAGTCGTAACAGGAGCACCTGCATGTGAATGTGAGATTTGTCTGTCATTTGTTGACAAATGAGCAACAGGGTACTTAGTTAACTGCTGATGAATGGGTTGATCCTGAGGCAATTGATGGTGGTCAGTGTACTGTGACGATGTTGTTGCCTTCATCTGATCGAATCCTTGTTGCGGTTCTTGTTGTTCTAGCGAATAACCAGATGAGCGTAACTGAATACCAGCGGCGTTGCCAACGCCTTGTGCTGATGTTGAATCATTGTAAAACGTTTTGTTGCTATTCATGGTGCTCTGTAGAAAGAACTAATATTACAAAGATTTACTTAATTTCTTTTTTTAGTACAAAAATTTTTTTACCGTATATTTGCAGTAAAGAAAAAGATTTTCCTATTTAAAACTGTCAATGACAGTCCATCTAATTTTCATTTTTATATTTATACACCAAAGTTTCGCTGTAAATTGTTTTTTCTTTGCACGGAAGTGGGTACCACTTAGTGGCTGAGAAAGTTCCAGCTTTGAAATTTATTTTTAGTAGGAAGTGTCGTCATAACAAAAGCTTGTTAAGGTTAAGTGTCTATTTTAAAATATAAATTTTCTTTCTGTACAGATTTGGAATTGAACAACAAACGAAAACCCACCTTCTTTCCATATAGTTTCGCTTTTAATCACTGTTTAGTTAGGAAAATACTCTTTCCCATGGAAGAAAAACAATGGCAAATGAAATTATTGTTAACAACCTGAGCAGCAGTTATGGCAGAAAAATTCTAATCAGTAAATTTAAACGTACAATACAACGCACATGCCAATTGTCGATAAGCATAAAGAAATTAAAACTAGGAATATTCTGTTACATCCAAATTATTTTTCAGTCTAGGAAGCTTGATAGGGTGTGAGTGTGGGTGTGGGTGTGGGTGTGGGTGTGGATGTGGGTGTGGGTGTGGGTGTGGGTGTGGGTGTGTGTGTGGGTGTGGGGGTGGGTGTTGGTGTGGGTGTGGGTGTGGATGTGGGTGTGGGTGTGGGTGTGGGTGTTTCCATCATTCACACCGACACCTTCACCCATACCTGCGGAAATCTGTGGGTTCCTTCTATACATACTATTCTCCATTTTCTTTTCTTTACGTCTCCTTCTAGACTTCCACTAATACGTCATTTCGTGCACTTCCTTTCATGTACGATCTTTTCTTAAGACCTTTTCTAGACGTTCTTTTTCTGTACGTCCTTTTCCTTACGCCCTTTTCTTGCACATCATTTTTCTATACGTCCTTTTTCATACGTCCTTTTTCATACGTCTTTTTTCATACGCCCTTTTCTTGTAAATCCTTTTCCTGTAGTGTGCATGTGGATGGGTGTGAGCTGGTGCGAGTGGTTGTGGGTGTGATTGTGGATGTGGGTGGATCTTCAGGCATTCAGCCACACCCACACCCACATCCACACCCACACCCACACCCACATCCACACCCACACCCACACCCACATCCACACCCACACCCACACCCACACCCACACCCTCCAGCAGATTTTGCCTTCGAGAAAACGTAGTCATTAGCCATTCATGTCTTTGCACGTTTTAAATAATATTGAGTAACTGAACACACTATTGATGTGATTTTCATGTCTTTTTTCTGCAGCTTACTATCATAGATTTAATATCTTCACTAATACTCCAGCTTCATTATTGATATGCGTCTTTCATATTATTGAGTGAGATTTGAAAAGGCTTCCTTTGATGCGCTTGTTTGGCTACCTGATGTGTAATATATGATGGAGTGATTTGAGATATACAAAGGATCGCTTGTATTGGTAGAAAATAAAATTAACGAAGTGTGAAGGCAAGAAAAAGAAAAGAAAGAAGCATTCGTAACGATTACCTTCGTCACATTATATAACTAATATAATGAGGAGCTCCTTACTATCGAATATCACTGTAGATTAACTAATGTTCACGTTTGATTCTCTCCATGTGCAAAGTTATTTTAGATTCATGAATTAAGAAAATGTTTTCTGCTCATCAATCATGTAGGATAATATATCTGTTCTATTATTAGTGTTTAATCTCATAAGATGCGTTAGTTATTCTTGCTACACACTTATTTATAAAACTATTATTCTTTACAAGTAGTAATAGTTTTACAAAAGCATGGATATCTACGATGTTGATAAACTCAATGAACTGATTGTTTATGCTGAAGCATTTATGAAAATTTATGGATTATAAAATGAAATGATATTTATTTATTTATTTATTTATCTTGATGCATTTAGTAAATTTATTGATTATTAAATGAAATTGGGTGCTTCAAGGCAGCCTCTCCCAAATTTACATCGACTTTCAGCCGAGAACTTTTTAGTAAACTAGTTTTGTAGAGCTCTTTGAGCTGTGTAGGAATGCATACTTTGTTATGGTTTAAAGTGTGCATTTTGGCTGAAAACCTGACTGAAAAATCGAACTTTTAGCAAAAATTCTCCGAAAATCCCTGGTTTGTTTTTAAATGAAACATGCTACAAAACCTCTGAGAATACCATTAGATAGAGCGTTAAAAGTTGTGTGTATGGAGTAATTCTCACGACTCCACCATAAAGTTTCACGATTTGGTGCTATTCAAAAAAACACGAAACATTTTATAGTCATGCAGGAATTTCTTATGGCGGCTGTCAGCTAATTATGAGTGTTATAGAAATCATTTTAATATCGAAATGCAGAAAACCTTATTGTAATGTGAATGTGACTAACCCGAATTCTCTCGGATTTACCGTTTTCTAGATATGTGCTAAAGAAGAGTCCGAATCTTCGAAAAATCGAAGTCCTGAAGGTCGATTTTCACGAAAACTACACGGCAGACTTTGCTCAATTTTTTTTCTGAATACATCTCTATGAGTACTATTTATTATCAAAAAATCTAAATTCACGCTTAAATATCAGCGAAGAGTCAGTCATGTCACGTTTCCATATAAACGGGCTCCGGATTCGTAATGTAAAAGAATATTTTGAACTTTTGAAAAGAAAATTAACATTCAACCAAATGTAGTTTTGCACGTTGAGTTTGAATATGATATTGGATTGATTTTCCTCAAGCTATCTCAACATGTTTTCTAGCCATCTTTCGTATTGCCATAGTGCTTCATTAATCCGTGCCTGGAAAACATGTTGAGATAGCTTGAAGAAAGCTTATCACTGCAGCCTTTTCCGAGCTAAAATGTGGAACTCACGTATACTCTTGTATCTTTCTGAAGTAATGCATCATGTATAATATAAAACTCTTCGCCTAACCTGTAATTATATTCAACAACAGTTGGTGACAACATCCGTTCTTGAATATGCATTTCTAGATTAAGAACAGAATTGTTTTGCTTTTTGTTTGAGCGCGCCTACTGTTATCTATTTTAGTTGATATATGCTCCCGCTAAGTCATTTTTTTTAATTTGAGATTTCTTTATGTCCTTTTTTAAGTAACATTTAGTTATCTTGAGAATAAGATGGTTGCAATGATATCCTAAATATGCCATCGATTACGCTTAATACTCTCTGATATATTTGAATGAAATCATAAATGATGATAAGGTCTTTTTTTCGAATTGATTAAATGATTATTATTAAAATGAGAGTTATTATGCATTAATATATAATTAGTATTCACTCTTAATATTTGACATACAAGTATAGCTTTAAAAAAGCCGACAATTACACTATATAAAAACATTACCAATTTTCTATAGCTTATTACACAATAATGAAATCATTAAAACAGTGTTCATCAGTCGAATTTATATATTCTTATGTCATGCAATGTTTTTATAAGTAAATTTGAAGTTTGTTATCAGCAGTTACTAGAGTCTGTAATAGGCGGTGTCTGTAATGGGGATATGTCTGTAATGTTCTCTCTCGTTGCTATATGTCTGTAATGGAGTGGCAGGAGGGTGGAGCCGCGAAACCTCGTCTTAAAACTTACACTCACTATTTTCTTCGAAAATATACGCGAGTTCCACAAAAAGATATCCAAGCTACCCGAACTACAGAATTCCGACTTGGTATCGCAAGAAAAAATGTAGTATCGATCATCAGCTACCTGTAGCTACGATGATGAATGTTGAGACAGTTTATAAGTGTGTTTTTGTTACGAAAGACATGAAACATGTTTTCTTGATTTATTAGTCCAAGAATGATCGGCAATTTCACTATTTTTCACGAAATTTAAGCCAGATGGTACTTGTATATATATGAGGGTACTCTTCTAAGATTCTTTCTTGAGTCAAAATATTGAAATCTGACCTCGAAAATTTTTGTGGCTGAGTTACCCCCCCCTCCCCCCTCCCCCCTCCGAAGGATAAAAAACGTCTTTCTTCTTTAATTTAAACGTTTTATACTCAGTCCTATAGAGTTCGTTGTGCTGACCACGAATATCGCATTTTTGTTGGTATTTAGTCAGATAATGAGAAAGATATTAACACTTTTCTGGTCTGAACGGTAAACAATCGAACCCGTTAAGAGGGTATTATAGAGTCAACAACACAGTACTTTTTGAAATTCTTTCAAATTCGAATAGAGAAAAAAAAATTAAGTTAGATCAAAGTCATTCACGTACTTCAAATATAATTTTAGAAAGGGCTTGAATCAAAAACGTTTCTTCATAAGAATTCGGACTGGTAAAGTGTTAATATCTTTCTCATTATCTGACTAAATACCAACAAAAATGCGATATTCGTGGTCAGCACAACGAACTCTATAGGACTGAGTATAAAACGTTTAAATTAAAGAAAAAAGACGTTTTTTATCCTTCGGGAGGGGGAGGGTAACTCAGCCACAAAAATTTTCGAGGTCAGATTTCAATATTTTGACTCAAAGTACCCTCATAAATATACAAGTGTTATCTGGCTCAAACTTTATGAAAAATAGTGAAATTGCCGATCATTCTAGGACTAAAAATTCAAGGAAACATGTTGCATGTCTTTCGTAATAAGAACACACTTATAAACTATCTCAACACTCGTCATCGTAGCTACAGGTAGCTGATGATCGATACTACATTTTTTCTTGCGACACTAAGTCGGAATTTTGTAGTTCGGGTAGCTCGAATATCTTTTTTTTCTAAGTTTCATCGAAATTCCATGTATTTTACATTGGGTGGTCAAATTCGGAATTCAAACTAGCTTACTTGATCGAATTAAGATTAGTTCCCTAATTTGATCAAAAACTTCTTTCAGATGTATAAATGAAAAAATGATGAAGATCATACTTTAGAATTAAAAAACATATACAGACAAATGGATCTTCATCTGAGAAATCGAGTGGTGTAATTTTTTTCTTAATTACAGACAGTTTTCATGTCGCAATCATGTTTGGCCCGAAGACTCATATCGAAATGACTGAAATGATCGAATTAGGAAAGGAGCAGAAGGAACAAAAATTATGAGTATGCCTCTTTTCAACGATTAGTGCTCATTAAGGACTAATTACTTTGTGATAAAAACTGCATAAAAAGATAGTACCGCATCTACTGTATTACAGAAACTAAAAATTAACGCAAACAGACGTTTTGGGGTGAAGTTATAAATTGTTTGCTAAAAACATAAAAATTTGTGATCGAATCAGGGTATTGTGCTCTAGATACATACATACACATCACTTTGCTTAAAGAACTATCCACAATGGTACTTACTTGGTCAACTTCGTTGATACTTATCAGTCTTGGTTGGCTAGGAACTGGAATAACGATTTCTGAAGCCTCGACTTGTGTCCAGGTCAATGGCTTTCGCTACACTGTCAAGACCATACTTACTCGGGATGTCTGTGTGATAGGGGGTGGTTCCTCGGGAACATACGCGGCAATCCGACTTCGAGACTTGGGGCAGACTGTGGTTGTGGTTGAAAAGGAAGATCGTCTCGGCGGACATACCCAAACGTACACTGATCCAGGGACTGGTACCACGATAGATCTTGGCGTAGTTATCTTTCACAATTTAGACATTGTGAAGAACTACTTTGCTCGGTTCAATATATCTTTGATCACAGAAAACGTCAATATCCGGAGTTTGGTCTCAAAATATGTTGATTTTCGCACCGGCAATATCGACTTTGGCTACTCGCCCAGTGATCCTACGGCTGCTCTTGCCGCGTATGGCGCGCAACTTGCAAAGTACCCGTACTTGGAATACGGATTTGATCTGCCTTATCCTGTCCCCTCGGACCTGCTCCTTACGTTTGGCGACTTTGTCAAAAAGTACTCCCTCGAATCTCTTGTTAACTTGGTCTATATCTTCGGACAAGGCCTAGGCGACTTGCTACTTCAGCCAACCTTGTATATATTTAAGATTTTAGGTATCGATGTACTTAAAAACATTCAGACCGGTTTTCTCACTACCGCGCTACATGATAACAGCCTGTTATATGAAGCAGCCCATGCCCACTTTGGCCAAGATGTGTTGCTGAACAGTCAAATCATAGCCATGGACCGTGGAGGCAAACACTTTGCAAAAGTCCTGATCAAAAGTCCGTCCGGACTGATCTTGATCAAATCGCAGAAGATTGTCTTCTCTATTCCACCCAAGCTGAGCAACCTTCAGGGGTTTGACTTGAGTGCGACCGAACACACGCTATTCCAACAATTTTTTAGTACCGAATATTACACAGGTTTGCTACGGAACACCGGAATTCCCGACAACATGGAAGTCGTCAACGTTGGTCGAAATACACTGTATAATCTACCCAAACTACCTGGCATATATTCCATTTACCCGACCGGTGTTCCAGGGTTGCTGAATGTGAAATATGGCAGCCCTTCTTCAATACCAGTTGGCCGAGTCATAGACGATATTCTCTCAAGCGTAAAGCGACTCAAAATAGTAGGCAAAAATGTGTCTGTCACACCAGAACTCGCGGTGTTCTATAGCCACAGTCCATACGAATTGACTGTGTCGGCAAGTGCGATAAAAGCAGGCTTTTACAAGAACCTCTACGCGCTCCAAGGCCAAAGACGCACGTACTATACAGGCGCGGCATTCCATACGCGGGATTCTTCGCTCCTCTGGCGGTTCACTGAAGCCCTCTTGCCTTACATAACACACGCATTGTAAAGATGGAAGCGTAACTCATGTGTGATTTAGAGGTTGTTATAGTAATCTCGCATTGATACATCTCGCCATCTATTTTTCATTTTTTCATTTTAACTTTCATTTCGTTTTCAATTTCCTTTTCGGCGATATACTCTAGCATTCTCTTTTTTTATCCATATATCTAGTATCTGTTTTCTTTCTTTTTCCTCTGTTCTTTTTTTTTTCTCTCTCTTCTTTTCTCGCTCACTATATATGTACGCGTTTTTCATCATTTAAACAGATAATAAAAAGATCGTGTGCAAGTGTGCACATACACACATATACGCATTTCTTTTAAAGAAAGAAACGAACTTAGAGTTGATCCAAAAGGACAAACGCTAACAATTGGCGACCCTGGACAAAACGAATATTGACAACAACAACAATTCATCTTTATTTTTTATTTCAGGTCTAGAATTAATTGCAATATTAAAGAGCCTCTAAATAAAACAAAAGACTCGGTAATTAACTGTATAAGAGCCTTGTAATATGGACTCGGGTGAATAAATTTTTTATTAAATATTAATTTAACTATTAGGTAAAATGCCTCTTCATTTTCATAAAGAATGAACTCAATAAAATAATGGATACTTTTCAGTAAACCGTTTCTGATATTTTCTAACATATAAAATCTGAATGTGTTTTTCGGAAAATTTTACCTTTTAACAAGTCGAATCAAAAAAAAAAAGAAATCATCAATATACATAGAAATCCTAATAAAACGTTTCGTTCGTTTCATTTTAGAGAAATAAACTATAATCAGAAATTCTAAAAAAGAATTTTGTTTATTTATTATTCAATTATTCTTTATTCATAAATTGATTCATTTTTATTTAATTATAGTATTGATTACTATTATATTCATTCCCGTTTACACACAATAATTTCGTAACGACTTCTGGAACTAGATATCAAGTTAAGAAGAATAACAGTAAATTATTTCCATATACTATTATTACATGTTCAAAACCTTATACAGATTCATATACTAATTCAAGTGAAACTGAATCATTAGAATTTGATATAGTTACAATGACTGATCAAACATTATTAGCAAAAGCCCGTAAAGCACGATTTGACGCTTTACCAAATTTCTCTAGACATCCTTCTGAGGATGTCGAATGATTTTTAAGAAGCATTAAGAACATAACAAAAGCAACTGATGAATCAGCTAATCGAGAAATTTTAGAAATTGCTTGTGGTAAATTAATTCAATCAGCAGGAATATGGTTCAATAATAATGAACCCAATGTCAAAAAATGGTCAGATTTCGAAACGGCATTTCGAAAACGATATTTTTCTTCAACATCAACTCATAAGAAGTTTGATACATTAAAACAACGTAAACAATTACCGGATGAACCCATTACGTTTTATTTTGATGACATTATTAATTTATGCTGGAAAATTGATTCATATATGTCAGAAAAAATTATAATTCAACATTTAATGAGTCGAATTAATCCTGATCTTAAGAAGGAATTATCAAGACGTGAATCATCTATCAATACATTAAATCAATTTTTAAAATTCGCAAAAAATGAACAAGATTTACATGACACATTTGGTAGTCTATCACTTGATTCACAACAACGTCATCTTAATTATAATCATTCATCAATTCCATCATTAACGGCTACAATTAATCAACCAAAACAATATTATAATAAAATGAAGCACAATAATTCCATTTCACATTCAACACAATCACAGAGCTCCGTTTCTCAGCGGAACTCGATTCCAACACTTGGAAATCAAACATTTATGGCACCTGATCGAAAACAAACTCGAAATCATCCACCACAATCAATATCAAAAAGGAAACCAATCAATAGTCGACCAACATTACAACATCGATTCAACAACTGCAAAGTTTGTGGTCACAAGAATCATCGAACAATCGATTGTTATTATAAATGTACAATTGGATGTTTTAATTGTGGTCAAAATCATAATATCCGTGATTATACATTACCTCCAAATTTTCAATAACTGGGTCACATGATGGCGGTGTTCCCAGTAAATTTATAAAGCCGTCAACAATCACATCATTTTCCGTTTACGTTAAGATTCGTGTTAATGATCAACCAACGAATGCAATTCACTCAAAAAAAAAGGTACAATACTAAACCCTTGGATCGCTACGAAACCTCTAATGGTTTGCACCATCTTGCGAAACCTAAATAGCTTTTTAAGCACATTACCAAGCCTAGAAGGATTCCGACTTTTGCAACGAAATCCGAACCCTTTAAGGGTTTTTTAGTCAAATAAGAAAAGCTTTGAAAATGCTTTTTCGACCATTCGCGATCATTGTGAGGAATGTAGGGTTTTTTACGGAACCTTTTTCAAAGTTTCTATTTTCTATAAAAAATAGTTCGATAAAACATATTCCTGTTGTTCGGTGCGTCAGCTTACTACAAGGATATTGACTCAAGTGGAAACATCAAAATCGAAACCATGAGTAGGTTTAGTATGGTACCTTATTTTTTTTCAGTGTTGTTGATACAGGATCCGCCATCTCCATTATTCACTCAAATTTTCTCAAAACCATTTATCACCATAATTTTTTATATCAAACTCATTTATATCAAACTGCAAATTCAACAGCTCTGAACCTTATCGGTCAAATTACATTAGGAATACAAATTAAATCTATTAAAACTTATGTTACTGCTCATGTTGCTACAAATTTAGTTGCATCAATTCTTTTAGGTAATGATTGGATCAATTCGAATCATGTTCATCTTTATGGTGACCAGAAAAAATTAACCATCCCTGATCAACATGGTCAGTCAATGTCAATTTCATAGGTGGAACCTATATCTATTAAGTATTCGACATTATCAGTCCATCAAGTTACCGTTCCTCCATATTCATAACAATTAGTTGATATCACATGTCAAATTAACAATACAAATAGCGTTATATTTGAACCTTATGAACGTCATATATCAAAATTTATTTTCATGCCACATACATTATTAAATAGCAATAAAAATCAAGCCAAAGTATTATTAATAAATGCACAAGATCCACACCAAACATTACCAAAAGATACACCAATCGGAACCCTTTCCTGTCATTCAACTTGTAATATATATGCTACAACACAAACTCCAGCAAAACATCACTCTTTTTCAAATGAACATTATCAATCTTTTCGCCAACAGCCTAAACAATTAAAACCCAGAGCTGTTTCATGCAGAAAAAACAACTCGAATCAAACAAAATTACATACTTATTCCCACCGTTGTAATGAATATTTTTTATCTGGAAATGATTAACAAAAACACTTACGAGCAAAATATTATTCGGAACAGGGTGTGGAGTGTGGCTGGGTGTAGGGTAAGCCTGTGGATGTGTGGGTGTGATTCTTCTTCTGGTCTACACACTCACCCACACCTCATATCCCACACCCACACCCACCCACACCCCACCCACACGCACACCCATAGCCACACCCACCCCCACACCTCACCCACACGCACACCCACACCCACACCCACCACCCCACACCCACCCACATAGTTCTTCCAACCAGCCCATGCTAACTCAATTTCAGTCAGCATGTAATGCTTGACCGGCAAGCTACAAAAATTGATTTATCAATGTAAAAAATAGTTTTTAACCAGTTCAACTAACCGCAGTATGTCACCATCTTACTTTTTGGCCACTTCATCGGCCACGTAACGTTTTGGCGGTAGACGGGTGGGTGTGGGTATGGGTGTCGGTGTGGCTGAATTGTGACTACGATTCATGTACGCACAACACCCATGCCCACACCCACACCTGCGTCCACACCCGCATCCACACCCGCACCCACACCCGCAGGCACACCCACACTCTAAACATTCCACGAAGTAACCGTGTAACAGTCACACGAAGTAACGATGTAACAAGCTCACGAAGTGACGATGTGACCATGTCACCAAGTAACGATGTGACTATTTCACGAAGTAACGATCCCACGAGATAACAATGTAACGGACTCACGAAGTAACGATGTAACAAGCTCACGATGTGACGATATAACAATCTCACGAAGTAACGATGTAATCATCCCACGAAGTAACGATGTAACCAACTCACGAAGTAACGATGTAACAAGCTCACGATGTGACGATGTGATCATCTCACGAAGTAACGATGTGACCATCTTACGAGGTAACGAACTCACGAAGGTACGATGTAACACTCTCACGAAGTAACGATGGAACCGACTCGCGAATTAACTAGGTAACAATCTCACAAAGTAACGATGTAACAGTCTTACGATGTAACGATGTGACTATGTCATGAAGGAAGGAAATGAGGATTTTATGCATGTGTAGAAATATGTCTATAGTTTTGTATACTTTTCCTCTAATGTTTCAATTTTTTATGGATCGCAAATTATAGCGGTTATATATGTGCACGTGTCTGTGGATGATTTTATATATTTTCCCCTAACCTTTCAAATTTTTATCTATCACAAGCCATGGAGAATATCATATGATATCGAGATGTCGAGATGAGAAATGGATGACTTGTGTCGGAGGCTCCGGATAATAGGGTATTAGCCATCTGTTAAAATACATTATTGCTGGAAACTTTATTCATAAAGATTGAATTACAAATATAATTAATAACATGTTAACACAAAAATATTATACTTCAGTCTTTCTCTTTAATGTCTATCCATCAAATTCGATATTGAATTTCTGTACTCGATGATTTCCGTTATCGACGACATAGAGATTACCGTGCCGATCGAATGACAAACCGAAGGGTCGATTGAGTTGGTTAGATTGTTCTCCTCTACCATTTCCACCAACAATGACACTTCCCTGTGTGGCTCCTTTGGAGCAACGCATTATTCGATCATTCTCAGCATCAGCCACATAGACAGTGCCCAACTGATCGACAACGACTCCTTCAGGATATGACAATTGTGTAAGACCATTTCCTTCTCCTTGAACACCAGCCACGACAATACCTTGTTTTGCACCTTCCATCCATTTCATAACACGATGATTTCCATACTCAGACACGTATACTGAAAGATCTCGATCGACGAATACGTAGTGTGGAAAAGAGAGTTGATCAAGACGATTTCCATTTCCATTTCCATTGCCACCTGCAACCACTGTTCCTTGAGATTCTCCTCTTCGATATCTTTTCACTTCATGTTTTCTATCGTCACTGACATAGAGAGATCCATTCACGTCCATTGTCAAAGCTACACAAGAGATTTTCGAGATGATCGTTTCTCCACTTGTCCCATTTCGACGAGGCCATCGAACCACTCTTCTATTCAAATTATCGGAGATGATGAGACTATCTGTCTCTTTGTCGACAATCACATCTATTGGGTTATACAATTGATGATCCCCACTTCCTTGTCCATTTCTACCGGCAACCACTTGGCCACTCGTCGCACCCCATTTCCATTCCAGAATACGGTGATTCGACCATTCAGCGATATAGATTGTTTGATCATCATCCACATACAAACCACATGGGTAGTAGAATTGATTGATTCCATTGCCTTTTCCATTTTCTTCAGCCACAGTGAGACCATTCTGTTGCCAGCGAGCATTTGGATGAATGTCAATGGAACTTTCACGTAATGGATGGACTGAAAGAGAGAGAAAGGAGAGAATAAAATGATAAAATAAGAGAAAGGGAGAGAGAGTATAAAGAGAAAAAAGTGAAAAGTTCATTTGAATTTTTGCAACATCAACATTGTTCCAAGTTTTGGCTCATTTCCAATTTTTTCTTTTGATAATGGATGTGGCGCTATCAAAAACAGTTATTTATTTTGTTTTCTTGTCTTTTTGATTTTCTTTGTTGGTTAATTTATTATAAAATAACTATTGATAGATGTTTTTTTTTTGTCTGGTACTACAAAGATAATATCAATTTACTGATACATGGTTGAAGAAACAAAAGGTTTTGTTTTTCAACAATCTTTGATCTTATATTTGAATTACTGGACTTCAGGAAAAAAAGACTTTGGAAAAGATTTTAGTACAGTTGATATATTTTCAGAGGTTCTATGAATCTATTGAAATTTAAGTCATCCTAATTTATAAATCATTAATATACAAATAAATAAAGTTCTTTTTTTCTTGGAAAGAGAAATAGATCACGGTAGTCAATCTGTTACAAATAATTAATTTTTTTTAGTCTTATGAAATATCTAATTATGAGTGTGCATATATATAGAAAACATTGGAATCTCACATTCTTTTATCGACTAATAGACAGAGTGTAAGAGAGCGAGTCATGAATAATAGAAATAAAATAATTAAAAAGAATTAATAAAAAGGAAAAAAATCTTCATTATATTCATATTGATTTTAATAGAATCACTTTTTCTTTATGTATATAATTAAATATTAGCAACTTCATTAGAGAATATTCAATTATTTACTATACTGCTTTTTTTCAGGTCAAACGAAATCGGAATTTTCCCGATAGATTGACAAAAAAAATAAGAATAAAAGAAATCCTATTTCTACATGTATTTTACAAAAAAAAAGCTTGTTAGCGCAGCTCCTGCGGAGCTGAAATGTGGAACTCACGTATACCTTTAGCTTTGTTACCTGACGCATCATCTGTATACTGAAAGACTTCTCGTCAACTATAGTTGTTTTCCTTGAGAATCGATGAAAAGAGCGGGA